ACTACTTCTAAGAAGTTGTATGATTCTAAATTCCCAGTCAAGAAATTCCAATCAATATGAGTAAAGTTAAAGTCTCCTAGAATTACTACATTATCGTGCCTTGTGGCCCTAACAATTTCCTCCCATAGTAGTCTCCCCTGGTCCCTATCTAAATTTGGGGGACGGTATATCACACCTAAAGTTAATTTTTCATGCCCCTCTGAAAATTCTATCCAAACAGACTCTGTATGTGTTACTTCAGACTTAATACCCGTTTTTATGCAACAGTTCAAGCGATCTCGGACATACAATGCCACCCCACCCCCCTTCCCGATACTTCTATCTACTTGGAACAATTTAAAACCCTGAATGTGACATTCTGCAGGCATGTCCCGACTTTTTGAATTAAACCACGTCTCAGTAATGGCAAATACATCTATGTTACCTGCACTAGCAACTAGTCTCAACTCGTCCATCTTATTCCTAGCACTGCGACTATTTGTGTAATAAATACTTAAAGACCCTCCTCTCTCTTTACCCTTCCTGCTCCTTTCTGTTATTCCACTAAACCTATTACTGTCCTTGTCAATTAGTGCCACTGGCTTTCCAATATCCATCTCATTTTGCCTATTACTAGTTCTCCTAGTACTCATATTACTACCCTGAGACTTCACAGTTTTCCCGCAAAAACCCATACCACTAACTATTCCTAGTTTAAAGACCTAACAGCTCCCTCCACTGCGTTGGCCAGTGCTCCCACCCCACACCTAGATAAGTGAACCCCATCCCTGGCATACATGTCATTTCTGCCATAGAAGAGGTCCCAGTTGTCAATGAATGTTACCGCATTTTCCTTACAGTATTTGTCCAGCCAGCAATTGACACCAATTGCTCTGGACAACCATTCATTTCCAACTCCTCTCCTTGGCAAAATGCCACATATGACAGGTTTCCCACCCTTCCTCCTAATTATCTCTATTGCTGACCTATACCTGCTAATCAGGTCCTCACTCCTACGTCTGCCAACATCGTTGCCTCCAGCACTGAGACAGATAATAGGATTGCTCCCATTACCTCTCATGATGTCATCCAGACGGCTAACAATATCCTTCATCCCAGCCCCAGGAAAACACACTCTCTGCCTCCTACTCCTGTCCTTCAAGCAGAATGCCCTATCCATGTACTTAATCTGGCTATCTCCAACAACAACAATGTTTTTACCTTCCTTGGCGTCGTCCGTCGTGATGCTCCGAGTAGTCGACTCGCATTCGCCAGGTAGCATTACACCACTTGTAGAATTCGTCAAGACGTTCTCGATGGTCTTCGTTGGGGTTTCTAGGGATGTCTCACTCACGTCTGCCAATGCTTCTTTGGTGCTCGTTGTGGCATTCTTAGTAGAACACTCACATTCGTCGGGTAGCACCGAGAATGGGTTGGAAGTTTCCACGGTAGTCTTCTGGTTTCTCGTTGTTTCTGCCTCTCCAACCGATTTCTTGATCTTCAGCTTGGTTCCATGTTGCCCGGCCACTGACCAAGCTCCCCTCTTAACCTGGGGACTCACAACAGGAGGATTACTACGAATCCTCTTGTTCTCCTCCGTTAATCGCCGTATCTCCATCTTAGCAAATCTGAGCTCTTCTCTCAGCTGCTGGTAAAGTTGCTCAAGAGAGGGCATCCTGGTTCAGATTCACAGAGAGCACACAAACAGGTCTTCGCAGAGCTAAGTACACGTCACCACTGTATTGTTTGTAATGGTTTGATAAAGCTCCTGGAGAGCGAAACGTTGCCACAATAAATGTCACATTCGTTGCACTTGTGTCCTTTTACTTTACATATTGTCGGTAATTCTACCAACTTTATTACAGGGTATATATATTTGGTATACAGGAAGCAATATTCCACTACATGAAATGGGTGGCATGCTTGAAGTATTACTCCTTCACAGGGAATGGTATCACACATAGAGAAATGTTCTATCAGTAACAATGGTATCTTAAATTAATGCTCTCTCATAAGGAATGGTATTATATATAATGAAATATTCCATAACTGGGAATGGGAAGCATGTGTAAAGTTAAATCCATCACTAGGAATGGAACGCATTCGTATAATAATATTCTATTACAAAAAAATGAGTGGAATTCGTAAAAAAAAATGCTCCATCACATTGGATGGGTAGTATGTCACAAGGGAGGGATGGCATGCGTAAAATATGTTCCATCACAGGGGATAATTTCATGTATAAACAAAATACTTCATCACAAGGAATGGGTGGTATACGCAAAAGAATGTTCCATCACAGAGGATAGGTAGCCTGCATAAGGTAATCACATCTGTTACTGTGAGCAGTGCCATTTGGATTAATAAAATTGGATTAATAAAATATAAGGATAAACAAGCCGGGACAACCAAAGATACAAGAACAAAGTGGCTTATTTCCATTGTAGTGTATGTTAGCTCCTTACCTAGAATGCAACCCACAAAAGACAAATATCTATATACATATTTAGTACCTGTTAAAGAGATACATATTTACTGCCTCTTAAGAAGATACATATTTAGTACCTGTTGAGAAGATACTTGTCCATATAACTAGTCACTTAATTCCTGCTTCCTCTCTTTGGAAGATTTGTCCTAGGAACCAAGAATCGTCAAGTACTTTACTATATGGAAATATAAACACATATGCAGTATAATGTGATCCTTTATTGACTACGTTTCGCCCACACAGTGGGCTTTTTCAAGTCACAAACAGTTCTGTTTGTGACTTGAAAAAGCCCACTGTGTGGGCGAAACGTAGTCAATAAAGGATCACATTATACTGCATATGTGTTTATATTTCCATTGTGTCGGTATTTTATACCATTTATTTCCATACTTTACTATATTTTCCATATGTCAAGAAGGTCGCCGACCAGCAGGCCACTGACGGGTGTTTCTGGCGGTTGCAGTTCTTGTAGCTCTTTGTTTATTGTCGTTCGTATTGTTGTCATGTATGTCGAACAGGGTGGCTAAGTGCTGGGGCTCTCTGGTGTTCCAGAGCAAAGGAGGACGACATGGGTGAGGCTTCCTTTGCTTAAAGGAGCCTGTGAGATTATCAGGCCTTATCTGCCTCAGGGTGCCTAGCAATATACTAGATTTTTCTTCTGTATGGGTGTCAAATAGCAATAGTAGAGAGAGTATTTTCATATTTTCTTTCACGATGCTTTATTCACTATTAGATTTAACTTGTCCCAACGAGGTGTACATAGCATTTATTATTGTACAAACGTCTGTCGATGGGAATGCAGGAATGCAAGTTAATTCAGAAACTGTTTTCTTGTGTATACTTTATTCATTATCTATGAAGACTTCTGACTGTGTAAAAAAACAAAAAAAAAATAGTGAAAATAATGGTAACAATGCTTCTAGAAAGTCTTATAGCAGCTCCCTCTTCCAGCCACACAGCCACTCTTCAGCCTCCATGTTTAGAAATTCTTGCACCACTCCTGGAGACCTGCCAGCACTTTCTGTCTCCACCAGTCACAACAAGGTGACCGTCACGGAGTTATCTCTGGTTCCACAAGTCACATCAAGTTGACCATCATGCAGTTTCCGAGGCATATACAGTACTGTATTATTGTATGGTTTTAAAAAGGTTACTATGCAGCCTTAATGATCCTCTTAGAGTAGACAAGCAAAAGACATTCTCCAGTAACTGATGTGATTCCAACTTTAATAAATTCATTAAAATTTCAAATTTGCATCTTTAGGTACCTAAATTTACGGGATATCATTCCACTTACAGAACGCATTTTCCATAGTATTCCGTATCAGATTAGAAGAAGTATTCATTATTGAATATAAATTAATATACCTATTTAGTGAACAAAATTGGCAAATTGAGACTTATATCACCCAACAACGGCGTGAACCTTGAGTTCAAGAAACCACGCCAGTGGTGATAATTTGAATCCAATCAGATTATTCTACAGTAATGACACGAATTTCAACGATTCCAAAGTTTTTAGCTGTTTTGCAATATTGACAAATTTGCTCGAACACAAATAAAACTTAATTGGTAACCTCCTAACCGTACGATACATCATCTATTAAACATCGAAGTCGTTCTGAAGAAGTAAATTGAAATATATTTTACATGATTTAACAAGATAAACGAATAAAACTGTTTTATTCAAATAACTGACAAATCTGCTGATACACACTTGAATTTCACTCTTTTATTAACGTTTGGTGCTACGCAGCTGAATATTTTGGAAGTTACTGGGGCCAGTTTAGTACGCTGGGAATGTGTTCAACAGCCTTAGTTATAGCATACTTGCACATGTCAGTTCTTCTGACATCTTGAACCATACACAAGCATTGAAAAACCGAAGCCGATAAGTTGAGGCTTTCAGGATTTATGAACAAAATATAGACGAAAAGTTAGAGGAAGAAACAATAGGGGAAACAATTAAGGTAAACCTTTAAATGTTTCCTTCAAGGACATCTAGTATTGTGGGTAACAGTCAACAATCTTCTTACACAGTCTTCCCGTACATCATCATTCAAGGATATTTTCAAAAGTAATCTACGGATCAAATTAATCTTTCGGTATACAATCACCTTTCTGTGTACTAACCTGTAGCGTCGGGATAACCTACTGTATAGATTTGAAGTGTATCGGGTATACGAGGGTCGTTAATGACATAAGAGTAGACGATAGACTTTAAAACCAATGAATCAATCGACCTAGATTTTATTTCAGTATCTATATTAGTGATGTAAGGCATCCTTGATTTGTAGTGAGTAGCAATACAGCCTTAAGGACCCTGGAGTAGTAGACAGGCTTTAACCTTAATTAACCAACCTCTCTGGCAAGTGTATATATTATACACAGAGAGGAGTGTTTTTCATAGTGTATACTTAGAGTTTATCCCTATTTTAGCGGTTAAAGATTTCTAGACATGACTTAATAGCCCAGGTGTATTCAAAAGACTTTAATTAAACGTAAGAAATTATGCAGACTATGGGGAGCTTAC